GGAATTTTAAAAGCTACAGACATGCTAAGTACTCCTCTCTGGGCTCCAGAGTGCTTGCCTGGCATAGGGGCCCAACTCGGACAAGTCTCCGGAGTCACCATGCAGTGCATGAACCTCACTGCCTTGACCTGCCCTACAGTTAGCTCCCCCTCTGAGAACTCTGGGTTTGGCAGAGCAGCAGAAACCCCACATGTGCACCCCGTCCTCTTGGGCCAGCCCAACATCTCCTTTCAGCACCCTTTGTTTCCAGTCCTACAAACAAGGAAGTAGGTCTGGAATCACCGAACTGGGTTCAAATCCCTCCTCTGTCACCGCCCTGAGTCTTGACTCCTCATCTATATAACAGGTGGGGCAGTAATGACACCCACCTCATAGGGTTCTTTTGTTTTCTTTCTTTTCTTTTTCTTCTTCTTTTTTTTTTTGTTTTGTTTTGTTTTAAGAGGTTTTTGCCTCAGGGTGCATGTACTTGCCAGAGAAAGAGACAGTAAGAAGAAAAATGAGGACTTACCCCTGGGCAGGGGAGTGAGGGGTGGGGGGGATGGCCATGCCACAATCCTTTCTCCTCCATTCTCCTCCCGGGATCTTGGGCATGCACGCGCACACACTCGGCATAATTTTCAAGCCACCAGGTCCAGAACTTGACTCACGGTTGACTGTGTGGGAGTCCAGTGACGTCACTGCTATGCTAACTGCTGGGCCTCCTTATAGGGTTCTTTCGAGGACTATCGAGACTATGCATCCCTCCATTCATCCAACAGTACTTCTTTTTATTTTTGGAGAGGTTTTTGTTATAGGGCGTGTATGCTCACCAGAAAGACAGAGAGAGAGAGAGACAGAGAGACAGAAAGTGAGAAATCATCCCCCAGGGGGATGGCCATGCCACAATCCTTTCTCCTCCATTGTCCTCTCTGGATCTTGGGCATACACGCACACACGCCTGACATGAGTTTAAGCCACTGGGTCTGGGACTCAAACTGTAGTCAATTACATAGGAGTCCAGCGATGGTGACATTATGCCATCTGCTGGTCCCCCAACAATACTTATTATCTACTGGGTGCTGGGCCCTGTGCTGAGCACTAAGGACACAGGCCTGTTTTCTGTCCAGTTGCAGAGACATACACTAGACAAACACAGATGACCCTTGACTTTTGAACTGTATGGGTCCACTAAGGTGTGGATTTTTTCTAATAAATAATGTAAATGTATTTTTCTTCCTTAAGATTTTATTTTATCTTTTCAAAGTTTATTTATTTATTTATTTATTTCATGAGTGAGAGACACATAAAGAGAGAGAGAGATACACACAGCACCTCCAATATGATCCTGCCGTGACCCACTCCAGCCTTCAGCCAGCCCCAGATCATGGGCAAGTGTGTACCTGGCATGTGTGTACTCAGGGAGGTCTCTGGATTTGAACCAGGAACTGTCCCATGTGGGATTGCCTCACAGAGCAATGCATTTTACACTGCACCACTGCCCAATCACCCATTTCCTCTTCTTTATGATTTTCTTACTAACATTTTATTTTCTATAGCTTACTTTATTGTAAAAATATAGTATATAATACAGAGAACATACAAAGTAAGTGTTAGTTGACTGTTTATGTTGTTGATAAGGCTTCTGGTCAACAGTAGGCTATGATTAGTGGTTATGTTTTCTGGGAGTCAAAAGTTATTCATAGATTTCAACTGTGCAGGAGGTTGGTGCCCCTACCTCCTATGTCATTCAAAGGTCAAGTGTAGTTTCAAGGACAGAGTTATAGTATAGGTTTGCTGAGAACTCTTAGTATTTTTGGTTACTACTGAGAGTAGCACTTGGGAATTTACAAGTAACAGATAACAGTGGTTGCCAATCCAATTTCCTTCCGCCTTTCCCATTCCTCTTCCCATCCACCCACTTCCCCATCCATCCATCTGTTCATCTAGTCCTTCCTATCTGGACCCTGATTTAATTCAGGAACTCTCCATTTCCTGGACTAGGTGAAGCTGTTGATTACCTGAGCTACTAGTAGGTGGTTTGCCCTCACTGACTTTCAGGTTCAAAGTCAGCATGTGACCCCAGTTAACTCTATCAGACTAAACAGAAATCTTTACTCTTTACTCCATGTTGAGGGGAAGGCTTTTTTTTTTTTTCTTTTTCTTTTCTATTTCCCCTATTGGAAGGAAGCAAGACGCCCTGGAGTTCCAGCAGTCATTGGCCACCATTTTCCTACCACACTGGGAACCAGTCTGAAAATGAAACTATGGTGATAGCTGTGAGGAGAAACTGACAAAATCCAGTCTGGGTGGCAGCTCTGAGTTACTGACAAACCAAACCTTGTCCTGTCTATGACTTTCAATGATGTGAAATGATACAACTTTTCTATCGTTTAAACCAGGTTGAGTTGGGCTCCAATGCTGGGAGCATGAAGAGGCAGGTATGTTCAGTTATTCCTGGAGCGAGTATAGACATCCAGAGAGGATCCTAAGGTTTTAGTTACATTGAGTTCACCAGTGCCCTAGGACTCGGCCATCCTCCTTCTGGGTATTTCTCCCAGAGAAATTTTCCTGCAGGTTCTGTCAGGTACAAGTGCAAGCAAGTTTATTTTGGTAAAACTGACAGTAGTGGGGAGTTAGAGGCAACCTGCGTTCATCCCTAGGAGAAAGGCTAAATAAACTGAGGTGGATGAACCTCTCTCCAAATATTTTTTTCTTTTTTTAGACAGGTTTATGCTATAGGGCATGTGTGCTTGCCAGAAAGACAGAGAGAAGCAGAGAGACAGAAAGTGAGAAATCACCCCTGGGGGCATGGCCACACCACAATCCCTTCTCCTCCATTCTCCTCTAGGGATCTTGGGCACGCACACATACGCGCCTGATGTGAGCTTAAGCCACTGGGTCCGGAACTCTAACCACGGTCGACTACATAGGAGTCCAGCGACATAGCCATTACGCCAACTGCTGGTCTCTCTCTCTGAAAGTTTTAAGAAAGACCTTTCTGCACCAGCCAAAGCAACATAGAAGTCAACAGCACAGCGTTGAGTGGAAACAGGAAAAAGCAGAGTGAGATATATAGAGCTATGCAATTAATGTAAATCAAAACATGGCATACTCAAGGATATGGGCATATTTAAATGCATATATTCAACACCCTGCACACCTGCCAAGACAGTAGGGAAATGGGAATGAAGAGCAGGATAAAGGGAGAAAATAACATCAAATAATACAAAAGAGGGGCCTTGCAGTGATTCGTGATAATGATTGTGTTCTGTGATCGGCATATAACTCAGTCTCAGGTTTCTGTACTTGCTGTCTAAGGAAAAAACGAAGGAGAGGGGTGACTGGTGGGAAGCCACCTAGCGGGTCAGTGGTGGGCCCCAGGAGATGCCTTCCTGCCCACCCCTGGACAGCAGGCAGAGCACTGGGCTTAGCTTACTTCTTGCCAGGGTGGATTTGCTGTCTGTGTGGGCTGCAGCCAAGCTGGGCCAAGGTTGCGGGGGCAGTGCCGAGGGCAAGGCCAGCAATCCAAGGAGGATGAGGAGACTCCAGAGTGGATACATCTTGGGTTCTGGGACCTGCAGGTGTTGAGACGAGTCAGATGGGGCCTGGAGAGATGGCAGTGAGGATGTCCGCCCAGATGGATGGGCTCATGGTTTGCTGCAGGAAGATGACACCAGAGTTAGCTCCTAGCATACTGTGGGGTGGGGTGAGGTGCGAGGGGCTCTGCAGATGCCCCGAGGGCTTGCTCACATGGCAAGGGCAGCAGGTGGAACCTTGAGGGGAGGCCAGGCCTCCAGAGGGAGACTGTGTTGCTTGGAGACTCAGTAAGCCCACTGTTGGGTCATCCCACAGGAGTCCTCTCCCAGACCCTGGCATAGGCTAGACAGCAACTTTTCAGTGAATGACTGAGTGAAGGTGGCTAACCCCAATGAACTAGGACTTTCTTAAGGCCATGATCAACCTCAATTCCCACCAGGATGCTTGTTTGCCAGAAGTGAAATGCTATTGTATGCTTGTCTAGTTATTAAATGACTGAAGAAATGAGTGAGGATGGCTCATCTCTGAATCCTCACTACATTTTGAGTTTCCTGAAGGCAATGTGTGAGGCTAATTGCTCCCCATGGTTGCAGTCCTCTGTGTCAGCAATGTGGTAGGTACTGATGTGTTAGGTGATACAAACGAAGGAATGAATGACTGGATGTATGGGTGGATCTCTCTGGGGAAGATTTGCAGGAGAGGAACAGAGAAGCACCAAGTTTACCTTGAATCTCTGGGGCTGGGAGTCCTAGAGAATTCTTCCAAATACTCTATCCCCATCGCCTAGTGATACAGGAGCAGAATCCACATGACTGATTATGGTTCAAATCCTGGCCCAGGGCTTGATAAACATGCCAGGTATGTGAGCAAGTGTCCCTCAGCTCCTAAGAGGTTGGAGAAATGGAAGAGAAGGGATTGTGATGTAACCACACCCCTTCAGGGTTTCTCTCTCTCTGTAGTGAGCACACATATTCTCCGGCAATTACACACACACACGCACACGCACAAAACCCTATCCTCACCATCTCAAGAGATCACACCATCCAGGTGCTCCAGTCCCAGCCCTAGGAGTTTCCCTTGACTCCCCCTTGCTCACCTCCACAACCTGTCAGATACTGTCTGCATTTCCAGGATCTGACCAAGTCTAACACCCCTCCTCAGCACCACCATCTTGGCTGGGCACCATTTTCTCAGGGGTATCATGCCTGGATTCCCAGTGTCTGCCCTTGCCCACCTGTAATTGCTTTTCCACACAGCAGCCTGAGCAGATTTCAGGACAGAAGTCAGACTATGCCATTTCTCTGCTCAGAACCCTCTGAAATTTCCTTCTGCACACAGAACAGTGCCTCCTGGGCCCAGTGGGGTCCTCTGCATCCTCTCTGACATCACCTCCTACCACTCCTCGCTCACTCTACTGCAGCCACACAAGTCTTGGGGGATCTGGACCCCACAAGTCTGCTTCTGTGAGCGTTGAACAAAAGCATCTGTTCCTGACCCTGTGCTCCCCCTTACAGGTGTGGGGAATAGACAGAGTCCTACCTGGATAAGGATGGAAACAGCCTTTGCAAACAGCACAGAAGCCCCAGGGTCATTCTTGGGCACTTCACTAAGATTTTGTAAGAGATTATACTGAAAGCTTTAGTTCAGGGTATTGCATTTCCCTCTTTGAGGTCCATTCTCAAAGTTCATGCTGGCCCTTGGGATGTTTGCAGAATATCGATTACTTTAAAATGTACTTTTCTAGCCTTCCTGGTCTTATGTAACCAGTTGGAATTTTGTTATCTTTGTTGTCAAGAAAATGAAAGACAAGTGGGCTCTGTTGGGAGGAACAGATCTGTTGTCCTTGGCTCTTTGGACGTCATGCTGTGGGGGTGGGAGAGTGTCAGTTCGGCCTCATCCCAGCTTGTGGTTCTCAGGGCCATGTGATCTAATGAACCATGGCATGAAGGTGTGGGCTCGCAGAGCCTGAAGCCTGACAAGGGAGAACAGATCTAGAGGTGCCGAAGGGCCTTGCTCAGGGGCAAGCACTGAATTTGGAGCCAGTTTGATGCATACTCATACGTAGTTAAGAGCACAAGCTTTGGGGGGCTGGATGGGGGTGCCGTGTAAAATGCAATGCTCTGTAAGGCTGTCTCTCATGGGGAGGTTCTGGCTGAATATTCAGAAACCTTTCTGAGTACACCATGGTTGTGCATTTCCAACATCCTGGACTGAGGAGGTCAGGGATGAATTGCAATGTTGAAACCCTGTTGGAATCGATGTCTTCTTGTCTGTCTCTGTCACTTATGAAAGAAATAAATACATAAAACTTGAAAAAAAAAAGAAAGAAAGAGAGCGCATGTGATTTGGAATCTTGCAGACCCTGGTTCAGGTCCTGTCTCCACCTCTTGGCAAACTCGGTTCCCAGGTCTGTAAAAGGATAACAGTGTAGACCTCAGAGTTGAAGTGAGGGTTCAAGAGACTTGTGCTCGGGACCAGCAGTTAGCATAATGGATATGTCGCTGGACTCCCTTGTAGTTGACCGCAGTTTGAGTCCCGGACCCAGTGGCTTAAAACTCATGCCGGGTGTGTGTGCGTGCGTGCCCAAGATCCTGAGAGGAAAATGGAGGAGAAGGGATTGTGGTGTGGCCACCCCCCCTGGGGGGTGATTTCTTGCTTTCTGTCTCTCTGTCTCTCTCTTTCTGTTGGGCGAGTGCATGTGCCCTATAGCGAAAACCTCTCAAAAAAAACAAAAAAAACAAAAACAAAAAAAACCCAAACCAAAACAAAACAAAAAAAACCAGACTTGTGCTCAAAAACCATGTTCTCAAAAACCATGTTCTTCTGGTTACCTCCTCCTTCCCTGCACTTCTCTGAACCTTAGCGTCCTCATCTGTAACCAGGGAAGCAGGAGGAGTACATGACACCAGGCACGAGAGCCCGGAGATGGTGCCTGGGACACAGGAAGTGGGCGATGTACTTTGGAACCACCTCTCTCAAGCAGATTCACAGGAGAGCACAGATGTTCTGGCAACGCAGCAGGCAGGAGTTAAAAGCAATGGCTGCCATCCGATGGTGGGCTTTGAGTAGAGTCCAGGAGGAAGAGTGGAGCCAGCCTTCTGCAGGGTGTGCCAGACAGAGCAACTGCAAAAGCAAAAGGCCCTGATGTGGGAAAGGGCTCCACAGGCTGGAGGAACCAAGCAGGATGGATGTGGCGGAACCCACTGGGTGAGAAGTCTGCATCCTGTGTCAAGTGTAAGACCGAAGGGAAGGGCCCACCAGCAGGACAAGGGGGCAGGAACCTCCCTTCACAGGACGGGCAAGCTTCTGCACAGGTGTGCCCATCACTGGCCTGTTGGAGAGCTACTTTTCCTCCTTGGGATTCTGAGGCTGCCTCAAGTCCCCGCTCCAAGGTGGAGGACTCAAACTCCAGGGGACAGCAGACGACAGACGTGCTAAATGTAGATTCTTGAACCTGATTCAGTGGGGTCTGGGGTGGGTTGGGAGTTGCACTTAGAATGATCACCCTGGGCAGATGATGCAAGGAGCTAAGTCCATACTTTGAGAATCACTTAAAATTTTTTTTTTTTTTTTGCCAGGGAGTACATGTGCTTGCCAGAGAGAGAGAGAAAGAGAGAGAAGTCACCTCCATGGGCATGGTCATGCTGCAATTCTTTCTCCTCCATTTCTCCCTCCTTTGGGAATTTTGGGTACACATGCGTTGAGGTTCAACCACGCAGTCGGCCACCATGTGGGATCTAGCCGCTTTAACCACCACTGGCTGGCCCCACATCACTCTGTGATGGAATGGAATTTGTTATTTATGTAGTCATTCATTTATCTCATTCTTTGTAGAAATATATAAAGCAAATATGTATAATACGCACACACTTAACAGTCAAAGAGAACTAGAGACTCAACTTTTTTTTAAAAGCTTATTTTCTGAGAGAGAGAGAGAGAGAACCTTGACAGGGTCTTCATGCTGTGATTCTGCCTGCAGCCCTGCAGCCAGCCAGAGTCACAGCGTGCCTGGTATTCTCATGCAGACCCGGGATGCAAACTTGGGGCTTCCCCGCACACCCCAGCATTGCAGCAGCACCTCTACTGCCTTGCCTCTGCCACCGCGCCTGGGCCTAGAGACGGAGCTTCAACCTAAAGACAAATTTCCTCCAGCCGATGGGGATGAGGAAGGAGTGGGGATGCTTTCTGAATTTAATATTGAGTTCGCCAAAGGACGACGATGTTCCTCTGGGTTCTGGAGACACCCTGGAGAGAGAAGGGAAAGTAAGACAGCTGGAGTTCCCAGGGCATGGCAGTGTTCTGGGGGGAGGGATGGGCCCTGTAAAAATGCAGATTTCTGGGCCAACTCTGGGCAATTGAGTCAGAGTCTCTGTAGGCGGAGCCTGGGAATCAGCTTCTGGGTGATGTGATGCACCTGGTGCGTGAGGCCCACTTAGGGGAATAATGATCATACACAGCTAACACTGGGTGCTGACTCAGCTCCATGGGCAGGCTACATGCTTCACATGCAATGTCTTATTTTATCCCCAACGCAGCCCTTTGTGGTAGGCACTGGTGTTATTAGCTCCCTTTGCAGGGGCTTGGGGATGTTGAGAACTCCTAAAGACCCCCAGCTGAAGAGGGGTGGGACTGGGGCAAGAACCAGGCAGCCAGATCTGCAGGAGGGAGGGCAGAGGAGCTGCCGCTTGGTCTCAGTCAGCTTCTCCATCTCACGTCCCCTCTGCTCCCCAACGTGATCCTCAAGCCCTGGCTCCAGTCACAGGCACTGCAAGGAGCAGCAGGAAGAATAGCGCCAGCAGGTTCGAGCAGAGCTGGACTCTGGAGTCACGTGTCCAGGGACGCAGTGGGTCATGTGGAGCCAGGAGTCGAACCCAGGTGGTCTGGCTCTATTTATTCTGTATACATTCGCTCACGGCCCTTGCCTTCCTCCTGCGCTCTACGAGTCTGTTCTGTCTAGTGGCATTTTCTGTCATCTTCTAGAGGCTGCTAAGGCTCCACGGGACACACATGGCAAATATTTAAACTTTTCTCAGTGAGTTTGAGTAGATCTGCCAGGTCTCACCATGGATCTTCTGGACCATGAGGGGGCAGGAACGGTCCCCATCGAGCCCAGAGCTTCACTTAGCGGAAGTGGAGAAAAGGAGGAAGGCAGGTTAACACTGACTGGCCACCCAGAGCCTCACCTGCCTTAAATGTCAGTCAGTGGG